AGGTGGCTTCCACGCTACCACTTTCTATTATGTGCCTCCTGAAACTTACAAGAAAAATGTACTCATAAACAAACAGTATATAAGTAGTGGTGTAGTCATACGCAGAGAAGTCAGGGGCAGTGAAAAGGACAGGTTCTTAGCTAAGGCAAGTGGTCCCTGAGCTAAGAACCTGTCCTTTTCACTGCCCCTGCTCTACGAAAGAGCAAGGTTAATTTGTGGAAAAAGTCACAGGACTGCCAAGCTATCACTGAAAGAAAAAGAAACGTTCATTAACTGCCACATTTTTTAGTACATTACGTAAGAAACTTTACAGTGAAATCTTATTTCTGTCACTCATTTTAACTAAGAAAATGATGATTCTGTTACAATTCAAAATGTATCTTATAATGTGTAACTAACTTTTCAAAATTTGACATTCACCAGGGTCTCTAAAGAGCTATATATAACCTGCGCTTCTATGCTTTCTACTCTTGAAAAACTGTGAATAGAATTAACTTTATAAGTATAAATGCTGAAATCTTAATTCGATACAAAAGGATCAAGACAACATCTCAACATTTATGCCGACGTCCATTGAAACATAGGTAACTATCTCAATGACGGTAGAAAAATATTTTTTGCACAATCCCACATTCTAGAAAGGAATACACGGGTCCCAATGCCTCCTCCTCTTGCAAAAGCCAGAAAAAAAGTAGCACAGGAGGGAAGGAGAAGGCGAGATTCAGGACTGCTAGTTCTTTCTGACAACTCCTTATGCACTAGCGGAGTGAGCCAGAGGACAGTGAAAGAGCATTAGGTGTTAGCAATAATGACAAGCAAGTCTGGCACTGAACGCGCGCAGCGAAGAAGAGTAGTAGACGCGCCAGCTTACTCTGCACCTGCAGGTCCATCTCGCGCATCTCCGTGAAGCGGTCCCGCAGATCCATTGGAAGCTGTTCAATCACTGTCAAAAAGAGAGTCCGTCAGAGGGGTGGGGCAAACGGCGAAATACGCGCTTACGTCACTGCGCGTGTGCGTCGGGGGGGTCGAGGGGGCCGGCAGCCTACAACGAGGCTGCCAGTTACCGTGAGAAAGAAACATCCCCCGCCGCCCCCTCCCTCTCCGCCATCTCGCTGCCCGTCCACTCGCGCTCTCGCCCGCCCACAGGTCCCACCGGCGGCTCCCGCCAGCGCCGCGCACTCACTTTCCAGATAGTCTTCTAGGTACAACATCGCGGCCCTTAGAGCTGAGGGAACGAGGGGGTCCAGGGGTTTATTTGTGTCACTCGCTGTCGCCGGAGTTTTGTCCCTTCCAATATGGCGCCTCCGCTAGCAGCACCCGCTCGACTCCGGCAAAAAAAAAAAAAAAAAAAGAAAAAAACCACTTTGGCGCCTGACGGCGCTTGCCTCACTGCCGCCCGGAGCTGCTATTGGTTGGTTGAAGCAATGACGTAAGCCGGCCAGTGTTCGCCCGTGTTCCTTTGTGGGAGATGTAGTTTTCTTCCTCCTGAGCAAGGGTTGGCACGCTGGCGGCTTCCCTCATAGAAACTACGAACACCAGGCGCCATTGCGAACAGTGCGTAACAGAATCTGAAATGCGGTGCCTCTGTTTATTTGTTGATTTTTGCACAGAGAATGGCGGGAATTGTATGCGCCTGCATAATACAACTAGGAACAACTTTTCACCTGTTCTCTGCTGTGATTTCATGTCCCGGCATTTGTGAGTCATAAGTTTCAAGACGTGCCAGGGAAATAGCAAAGGTTCTAACGCTAGAAGAATCAGCAAAGTTCGGGGCATTTGGATTGCTTAAAATAGAACTCTCTGCTGGAATTTATCCTCATTATTCACTCCTGAAATATAAAAGAGACATCTGGTTGGCTTACATGTAATTTTAAAATAGTTTATAATGAGACTATGGAGTGAATATGCATTTCCCAGATTAAAAGACGCACAGATAGTGACAATAACCACTTATATATTCTAGTTTGCGGTCCATCTAGTTGTCATTCTAATGTAGTTGATCAGTATATACAATCTGATATCATCATCATCATCATCATAGTTAGCAATGGTGAATAACGGATGGAGCCTTGATTTCTAATAGGCTGAAATAGCAGTAATTTTATGTTGAGTAGATAGTCCATAGTAGAGGTTTGCTGTCTTGGGCGTTCTTTTCTACTTTTCGACCTCTCCCAGAAAATGTTTTCCTGTGATGTATTTAGTACGTCCCTGCTTTTTTTTTTTTTTTTTTTAACTTATTAACTCTTGCACCTAATAAATATTAGGTATTGTTATTTTTCACTCTTAACTCTTCAGTTTTCTGGAGCAATTGTCATTAGTTCATAATTTATTGTTCATTTTCTGTTTTTCAGATTGCAGTTGAAGCTGTGTGTGTGTGTGTGTGTTTCTTGCTTTCCTTCTTCATCACAATACTCTTATACTAAACGTTTTTACTGCTCTTAAGCAGGATATTTTCCTGTTACGAATGATGAATAATGATGAATCTCAACGGAACCTTACTACAATCCCAATAAGAATTAGGATTTTTTAGGCCAGGTGCGGTGGCTCAAGCCTGTAATCCCAGCACTTTGGGAGGCCGAGGCGGGTGGATCACGAGGTCCAGAGATCGAGACCATCCAGGTCAACATGGTGAAACCCCGTCTCTACTAAAAATACAAAAAATTAGCTGGGCATGGTGGCACATGCCTGTAATCCCAGCTACTCAGGAGGCTGAGGCAGAATTGCCTGAACCCAGGAGGCGGAGGTTGCGGTGAGCTGAGATCGCGCCATTGCACTCCAGCCTGGGTAACAAGAGTGAAACTCGGTCTCAAAAAAAAAAAAGATTTAGGATTTTTTAGTTTCTAATTTTTTCCTTACTTGCATCTGAAGTCAAGTACTTTTAATATTTTTCTCCCTTCTTTCCCTCCTTTTCTTTTTTCTATCCTTCCTTCTTCTGGCTGCTTTTAAGATCTCTTTGACATCTTAGTGAGTTTAGCAGTGATCTAAGTCTGATTTCCATCCTCCCTTCTTTTCCTTTTATTTTCTTTCCTCCCTTTTATTTCCTTAAATTTTTAAAATGTTGCTTAGGATTTCTTTTGGTGTCTTGCAACAATTCTAAAAAAATCATCAACCGTTGTCTTTTCAGTGTTGTTTCTAATTTTTTCCATTAAGACTTTCTCTCTTTATTCTCTTATTTATCTTACTCTTTCATTTATATGTTTTATAATTTTCAAAATTTTTCAGGTTTAGAAGTTCTATTTGGTTCTCTTTTCAAGCCATTTTCTAATTTCTTGTGCAAATTATTTAGTCTATATCTTGTTTCTGTTAAATCTGATACTGAAACATTTATGGGTCTTTTGGTGCTAGAAATGGGCGTTTTTGCTCATGGTGCTTGTTTCCTGGTGGGTTGTGATTTTGGACTCTGAATGCGTGTTTTTGGGATTATAAGCATAAGGATTCTTTGAGGCTGGAGTTGAAATTGAGTTTTTCAGGAGAGCATTAGAATTTGCTACTCTGTTTGGAGACACCATAAACCCTAGGACCAGATTAAATTGTCCACTTGAGGTTTATTGTATTGCACAGATAGATTTAATTTGGGCCTCTGTTCCAAATGGATTGTTACAGATTCTCAGAGGGTTTTTTTTTTTGTTTTGTTTTTTTTCTCATTTACTGGGCTCCAAGGCCAAACAGGCTTGTTTCATTACTGGTCTCCTCTGTGCATGAGGCATGTATGTCATTTACCCTTACCCTTACATGGAGAGTATAGTCCATGCAGCCCCAGATTTTTGTCTGCTATAATACTCTTCCTTTTGAACTGATGCTTGGGTTTATCTTCTAACCCTGGCATGCTGCACAGCTGTTAAAGCAAGAGCTCTAGGTGTCCAGAACTTGACAGATAATCTCTGAACAAAAGCCTACTTCAGCTTGCGCTTGTTTCTTAGGATATTCTCATTTTCCTTCTCTATTTTTTTCCCCCTTTTATATTCCCTCTGAAAATTCCTTTATTTCCTACTAGTTTATCAGTGTATTTTATTTTTTTAATCTGGCATTTTAAGTCGTTTTTGCCAGGTAGCTCTTTCAGAGTAGCTAAATGGTATGCCATCATCAATAGAAGTCAATATAAATTGAGCTTCTTCAGGGAGTGTTCCACATTAAGGAAAATGAGATAATAAATGGTTCCAATTCAGTCAGTATAAATACACACTCCAGAGAAACCAAAAATAAAACCTACACACTCTATATTTTAGTTCATAAATATAACTGTTGTTGTTAAAACATGTATCAGCTGAGCTGTAGAAATTATGTTTACATTATGATAACTTCTTACATCATTAGGTCATGGTATCCATGAAGATACCGTTTTTGAGTGGCTGCCTACTTAAAACCTATATTGCATTTCCAGGCAGTGCCCTTCATATGTGGATTGATCATATCTGTATCATAGCTTATTAATTTATCATGGATTGACCAAAACTGGACCTATCAGATACATTTTCTTGTGATTTAAAGTTAGGAATGAAAAGACACAGAGACTGGTAACCTCATGGTAGAATTATATTAAGTGCAGGACAGTAAATAAATACACACTCCAGAGAAACCAAAAATAAAACCTACACACTCTATATTTTAGTTCATAAATATAACTGTTGTTGTTAAAACATGTATCAGCTGAGCTGTAGAAATTATGTTTACATTATGATAACTTCTTACATCATTAGGTCATGGTATCTATGAAGATACCGTTTTTGAGTGGCTGCCTACTTAAAAAAGTTGGTGTAGAGAACAAGAGGTGAAGCTGAAAGAACTTGAGAGTTTATGGACCTTTATTGTTGGGTTCTGATTATGTAAAGATGTCGCAAGCCTCAAGTACTGTGCTTACAGGGAGCTAATGCTAACCATCTTGCAATAAACCAGTAATCATGAAGGGTTGCTCCTATGAAGTTACCTGGGGAAACAACAATGAAGTTTTCTATCCATCCACCTGAGATCATGGGTGAAAATGCAACCCAGAGGAATTTAGACCTTAAACCTGAACCATGCATGGGTGTGGAATCCAAATTCAGATTCCTCACAAGGTGCAGAGACCCTTTAAGCAAGACATTAAAAATTGGTCTGGGCTTTCTGCTCCTCCTGTTCGACAGACAGCCGCATCTTGTCTCCCATCGCCAGTCACATCCCTGAGACACCATGGGGAGGGTGAAGGTCGGAGTAAACGGATTTGGTCGTATTGGGCGCCTGGCACCAGAGCTGCTTTTAACTCTGGTAAAGTGGATATTGTCGCCATCAATGATCCCTTCATTGACCTCAACTACATGGTCTACATGTTCCAGTATGATTCTACCCATGGCAAATTCCATGGCACTGTCAAGGCTGAGAACGGGAAGCTTGTCATCAATGGAAATCCCATCACCATCTTCCAGGAGCTAGATCTCTCCAAAATCAAGTGGGGCAATGCTGGCGCTGAGTATGTGGTGGAGTCCACTGGCGTCTTCACCACCATGGAGAAGGCTGGGGCTCACTTGCAGGGGGGAGCCAAAAGGGTCATCATATCTGCCCCCTCTGCTGATGCCCCCATGTTCGTGATGGACGTGAACCATGAGAAGTACGACAACAGCCTCAGGATCGTCAGCAATGCCTCCTCTACCACCAACTGCTTAGCACCCCTGGCCAAGGTCATCCATGACAACTTTGGTATCGTGGAAGGACTCGTGACCACCGTCCACGCCATCACTGCCACCCAGAAGACCGTGGATGGCTCCTCCGGGAAACTGTGGCATGATGGCCGTGGGGCTCTCCAGTACATCATCCCTGCCTCTACTGGTGCTGCCAAGGCTGTGGGCAAGGTCATACCTGAGCTGAACGGGAAGCTCACTGGCATGGCCTTCCATGTCCCCACTGCCAACGTGTCAGTGGTGGACCTGACCTGCCATCTGGAAAAACCTGCCAAATATGATGACATCAAGAAGGTGGTGAAGCAGGCGTCGGAGGGCCCCCTCAAGGGCATCCTGGGCTACACTGAGCACCAGGTGGTGTCCTCTGACTTCAACAGTGACACCCATTCTTCCACCTTCGATGCTGGGGCTGGCATTGCCCTCAACGACCACTTCGTCAAGCTCATTTCCTGGTATGACAATGAATTTGGCTACAGCAACAGGGTGGTGGACTTCATGTCCCACATGGCCTCCAAGGAATAAGACCCCTGGACCACCAGCCCCAGTGAGAGCACGAGAGGAAAAGAGGCCCTCACTCCTGGGGAGTCCCTGCCACACTGAGTCCCTCACCACACCGAATTGCCCCTCCTCACAGTTTCCATGCAGACCCCTTGAAGAGAGAGGGGCCTAGGGAGCCCCACCTTGTTGTGTAACATCAATAAAGTCCCCTGTGCTCAGCCAAAAAAAAAAAAAAAATTGGGCTGGCCTGTTGAAAGAAGAGGCCTCCCCAGAGAAGCAATTTTATTTTATTAATAATAATATCCTTTAGGGATGTTCCTCATCCTGGGAACAGAGAGGAGCAACTGTTGATGGTGACCTCACATTGAAACACTGCAGATCACTGAAGAAATGAAGACATGAAGAAATTGTTGCAGATAGAATAAAAAGGAATTCTACAAATTTGAGTACTGGAAGTCATGACTAATGAAATTAAACCAGAAAGTAGAATAAACAAGAAAAAAATAACATGTAAAAATTGGAGAATCAATCTGAAATTTCCCATACCTGATTCATAGAAGTGCCAGGAGAGAACAGGAAAAAAAAAGTGGAGACACAAATGAGTACATATTCTAGGATGACATTTAGATGAAATTTCTGAGTAGATAAAAGTAATCTATGATAATAGGAATAGGAGAGTGGCCACCTCTAGGAAAAGTGGAGTGATTAATCTTGGATCCCTTGGCTGACGGGGATTGTTTCTTATCCACTGCTCTGTCACAAGCATGCAGAAGACACTCAGTTCATATTTGTTGCACGAATAAAGGAAAGTAGTATTGGGTGGTTACCGGCTTTTGAATCACTTCTGATTTTGACTCCTGTCTTTCTTATTTACTCATATGACCTGAGCCAAGTTACTCAAAGTCCCTAAATTGTTTTTTCATTCACGAAATGAGAGTAAGAAAGGACACTTGCATTGTAAGATTTTGACAGGTCTCAAAGGAGACAGTGTTTAAGAGTACCTAGCACAGTGTCCAGCACATAAATGTAATTATGAAGAATATTATTTGTAGAATTGACAGTACAGAGATAAATGATCTACTAAGTGCCATGCCAAGGACACTGCAGTGGAAGCAGTCACCCCAGAGTAGGCAAATAAAGGGATGTATTGTCGTTAGAGGATTTAAAAACAATAATAAAACTGACTTTTACAGCCTGCATTTTATTACCACCATGTGCCAGCAATTCTAAACAATGTCAGTGATGAAATATTTCTCCTGAAAAAATATTCTGATAGTCTAAGGTCAAACAGTAGCTTCCGTTTTGGTGAAATTTTAATAAAGGAGACAATACATAAATAGTTGATTGGAAATAAAAGACAAGACATAACTTGAGTTCTTTCAATTATATTGTATGTGATCACTTGGATTTTTTATTTGTATTTTAAATTTAAAATAGTGAAACTGAACTGCTAGGTGTAATATTTTTGTTTACTAAATGCAAATTTTAGCTTAAATGTGAAACATATTACTGAATAATATTTCAAAAATGGAAATGTATTCTTTTGTTATTCTTGTTTTTTATATAATTGCTATAACATTTTAATGTAGTGTCTCATTAGTGTAACAGGCCATTGTTTTTCTTTCCAAAAAATGCTTAAATCTAATTTAAAAGATTAACCCATTACTTTTTTCTTCAATGCTATTAATTGTTAATTATTCGCTACAAGCATGATTATATAATGAAGTTTTGAAAAAAAGAAAATTTGCCTTTTCTCAATTTATGTTATGTTCATTATCATTATTCATTTAATTTCATGACTATTTCTAAAAAATAATTTTTTTGTATAGAGGAGGAGCATAATAAAATTAACTGCTTCAGGTGTCAGATATGCTAGGTAAGTGCATTTAAATAGTTCTCACAGGAAACAGGTGTAAATGTATTTATACACAATGGCATATTGTCTGCGGCTGTTTCCTTGGGTTCAATTTTGAAAGACTTAGGCTCTCTAGCATTCATTTTCGTGAGACTGATAATGCAAATATAAATTACCAAGCATCTTCTCTTTGTAGTACAATATGAAAATATTTCAATGACTATAAGGATTTTTTGCACTGCTGGAAACTCTTCAAATATTTTCCTTGTCTACTCTCCAGTATCACACGGGTACTCTATGATACTGGTAAGTGCTGTTTGGGAAATTCTGGCTTTTTCCTTATTTTTATTTTTTACCCTGTCTTCAATGAATCCAAATCAGTAGAGTCTTAGGAATACTTATTTTGCTAGTAGGGGAAAAAGCGTTTTTCTGAAGTAGGTTAGGGTATTCTTACCATTGAGGAAATAGAGTGCAGAAGTATGACAATATAGTGCTTTTTTTATGCTGTCTATAAATATCTTATGAGACTTACTACATTGTAGTCTAGAGCCTGCCTTTCTAACTAATTTGGAATTTTTCAAGGGCAGAGACCATGTTTTATTCATCTGTTGATCCACAGATCTGGCAGGTAATACAAGTTCAATAAAGATGTGATGAATTATTGAATGAACGAATGCATGAGTATTAAACACAAGTCCGTAAGATTCCAAGTTCAGAATAGAGAGGGCAACATAAAGTTGTCATGATTATTAACCATAAGGGTCTGTGAAGAAAATGGGATTCCAGCTGTCATCCAAGTAGCTGGACTGGAATGCTGAGAAGAATGTTCTAAATAGAATATTCAAATACAGAAGTAGGTCAACCCCCTTCATAGTGATTTCTAATTAGGCTAACCTAAAAGGATAGGCAGAGGGAAAATGAAAGTAATATGGTAATTCATGAAGCTCTATATTTTTTTAAAAAACTCTTTGAAATTGTAAATATTAATCTAGCATAATAAATAAGACTTCTAGGGAAGTTGAGAAATAATATATTACAACAGTTTATTTTGGTAAAAAATGTTTACTGAACAGCAAATACCAATAATACAAAACGTGACCAAGACACAGTCTCTGTTCTTGCAGAACATAGAGCGTTTTAAGAGATGGTTCAGGAAATAATTTAAACATAATGTGATAGGTGCTATGATACGGTGAAATTTTGAGGAAGTGACTAGATGATTCAGCAAGAGGAATTTAAATAAATTCTGTTGCAATGTGATGGAGTTTTTGATGAATAATGACCATATTGATTGAGCAAAAGGAAAAAGTGATAGAGACCAATATAAGGATGCAATATATAAAATATCCAAAGATCAGACTTTGTAGTCATTAAATACCATGTTTTTGATTACTAAGGATATTTTAGGATGCAGTATGCACAAGGATACTAATCAGAATATTTACACTGATACAGCCCTAACCAGTTGTTAAAATGTTGAGATGCTTCTACTTGTTGGTAAATAGCAGCCTCTCTGAGCCACTGCAGTGTCTCATAGTACTCTGCCTACCCTGAGGCTTCCAATGAGACTTTCTGGGCCTCTCATTATGCAGCCCCCATAGAGTTAAAACATGGCACCCCAGAACTTTGCATCAGTGAGGCCAGCCTCTTCTATATGATTTGCTAATTATTTTGGATATCATTCCTGGATACATTATGAAGTAAAACATGGGTCACAAATGCTGTGTGGAATATGATAAGTACTTTTGAAAAAAAAAGTATGTAGATAGATACATACGGACATTATACTTTAGACTTCAGTCTACATTTTAGAAGTTAACAATAGTTATTTCTGAATGATAGAGGAATTTTAGGTGATTGTATTTTATCTACTTCTATGTTTTTCAAACTTTAAAATTATTTTATAATCAGAAATATATTGTTCATGCACCCACACACGAAGTGAAAGCAATGAGGTTGACAACCTATGTGGCGTTTTGTGTCTTACAAGTTTTCCAAGTTCTAAAAAACTGGTCCAGTATTTTGCAACTATTCTTAAAGTGATCTATTTTATTCTCAAAAGACTTTCATACCGAGTAAATATTGCTGTGAGGGTCCAGATGGTGTCCAAGTGTCAAAATACGAAGCCAAGTCATTAAGCAAATGAAGCATTTAGGATTCTGAGTCCCATTACCGGCCTTGGGTCAGATGCATAAAGGTCATGGATCTGGGGGAAGCAGATACACAAATAGGAAATGAGGTTAAAAACATGTGGAGGGAAGAATTACTTGCCAAGACAAATCCTGGAACATGGGACAACATTCAGAATACTAGGTTAAGGTCATCTGAGGTAGTGGAAACAGCATAATTAAGGTTTTGGAATTAAGTGATTGTAAAGAGAGGAGTCTGTTTTGGATGCTGGTGAAGTCCTGTTTCTTGCACATACTCACCATGGATGATTGTGTGATGATGGCAGGAGGATATGATAGAGGGATAGCACCATCAGTGTTAGAGTATCATTTGAGTAGCTTTGTCATCTAGTTCAACATGTGAGGTGTGTTTTTAGAACTAAATTGATGGAGTAAACAAGTAATTCTGTATGCCATCCAGATATAGATTGTAAGTGGATCCATGGGAACAGATAACATTGTTCAATACCTAGGGCTTTGATTCATAATGAAAGAATTACTGATAGAACTGCTAACCTGGAGATCAATGGTTCTCGACCAGGAGCAATTTTGCCCTCCAGTGGATACTTGGCAATGTCTGGAGACATTTTGGTTGTCATGACTTGGGGAAGTACTACTGGCATCTTGTAAGTAGAGGCCAGAGATGCTGCCAAAATGTCTTACAATACACAGTACAGCCACCTGCAACAAATAATTACTGGGGCCCAGAATGTCACTAATGATGAGTTTAAGAAACCCTGCTGCAGATAGATGTTGTAGCTGAAGAATACTCAACATTCTTGGGTTTGCGTTCCATGCCTATCAGTCACATTGTCATTTCCTTAATCAGTGTTGGTTTGAGAAAATTGTACAGTAGAGGGCAGTGATAAACAAACTTCTGTGTTATATTACCATTTGTCCTCCATAGATTTTTTTGTCCTTTTTCTACTTTTCTAATTCCTAGAACAAAAATAATAGTAGATGCCAAACAATAAAACTAAAGAAAATAATTTTGTATGTTTCAGGAAAAAACATTTTATGCAAGGATGTATTAAAGATTTTTAAATACAAGTTTAACAGGTACAGGATGACATCTTTACCTTCTTAATGCATATCCTGAGTACTGATATCTCCAATGTTTTACTCTTTATTTGAAAAAATATACCAAATGGTAACTAAAAAACTGAGAAAATAAAATATATCACCTAATACTAATGTATAATTGATCATAGTTTTATTGGTAGCCTGTTCTAGTATATTGTAATCTTTGTGTATTGCTGA